CGGGAGTCACCGAGCTCCCCTGCGATGAGGGCGGCAGGTCCCAGGGCTCTGCCTCCCCCCCTGCGACACCCCCCCTGGAAGAAGAGGCGCAAACCACACTGCGGGACCGGGGGCGACCCTCTGCGTCCCCCTCCACAGCGGAGGGCTGGGAGAGGCTCTCGCTGGCCGAGCGGGTGGAGAGGAACCGGCGGCTGCTGCAGGAGGTGCTGGGCCTCGCCGCGGCTGGTGCGTGCTTCGGGCAGATAGCGGCTGTTTCGGTAGAGCCAGGGGGAGCGGGAAGGAGAAGCTTTGGGGCGAAGGGGGGTCTTCGGTGCCGTCCTCCAGCCTCCCAGGCTGCAGGCACAGCGCCGCGCTGGCTCATGCCCCGGGGCTGCCCTGTCCCCCCATGGGTGCTGTGTCTCCTTCACCGGCAGCTGAGGGAGATGCCCATAAACAAAACGGGGTGCTGCTTCACCGGGGTGCCGCTGGTCCCCTCCGGAGTCCTGGTGAGGGATTTCACTGCTAAAAGCAAGAGCGAAACCCCCTTTCTGGGGCACTCGAGGTCTGCAAGCATCATCTTCCCATTGCAAGCTGCCACCAGAAAAGGGAATTAATTTCGCCTTCAAAAGCATCTGCCCTAGTGACCCCACGGCCACCATCCCTGTGGACGCGCCCCACGGCAGGCGGTCCCATGTCCCACTCTCTGGGGTCTCTCTGGAGCCGAGCAGCTGGGGCCCCCGTAGGGAATTAGGGGTGTGTGTTAGGACGGGCTGAGCTGTGGGGCTGGCAGTATGGGGGGTGCTATCTAGGGGGTGCCAGGGTGGGGGCCGTGGTCCGGCCGGGCTGATGCCTTTCCCTGTCCTGCATTTCAGAGGTGCCAGCCAGTGACGGGGACTGGGACTCGGGGGTCTCGCTGCAGGATGCCGAGGGCTGCAGGTAGGTCAGTCCTCGCGTGGCAGGGATGGACGCTTCCCTCTTTTTTCCCTCTCCCCAGTCTTATATTTTAAATGCAGCTTTCAAAGCAGTGCTGAGGCTCGGCAGTGCTCCGGGGGGGGCTGCAGGGCAGCCCCCAGCCTGGCAGGGGCTCTGGCGGCGCTTTGGTGTGAGCAGGGCAGGAGGGGCCAGCTGAACCCGGT